AATCTGCTAGCCCGCAGCGTCGGTGCATCATCTTGACATGGTAAATGAAATTCCTTTAGCCCACCAGTCTGAAGTAATGAATTGTTCCCCCACTTAATTGTATTGCTTCGATAACAAGGAACTGTGCTAGGCCTAGAGAACACAGTAAGTGGATTTCACCGGATGATTTGTGTGACGTTTTGAAAAAACGATCCTCTGGAGTGGCCTGGCTTTCATGGGACTCTAACGGCGCCAGCATGAGCCACTAGGCATGCAGCATCCTTCCAGGGGGAGGAGGGACTTCCTCCTCTGGCGTGGGGACTGTGGGGTCATCACCAGATCACCGCTGACCGGAAACAGTTCCCAGGGAAATGTAAACCAGGAGAAAGCTTTTGCCTCAGACAACAATACAGAGGTCTTATTACTAAGTTGCTTTTATTTTATGAATGCATGTTTTTTTAATCTCAAGCTATGCTTATCTCATCGTCATCAGTGTGAAAGCAAACCAAATAACATGCAAAGGCTGGCTATTCCGAACTTGCCATGTGTAACAAGGGAGTCAGCCATAGCTTGCTTGTGTTTTGGCAGAGACTTAAAGAGAGGCGAGTGTGTGGGAACTTTTGAGAAGGGGAGAAGGGGGAGGCCCAAGTGGGCAGCAGGAGGCAGGCTAATGAGAAGCAGGGTGTCCTATGTCGTTGTTAGGGGAGCATATTTTCTCTCCTCTGATTGGTCCTAAGGTAGAAGCAGGGACAAAACTACAGAAGCTGTCAGTTATTAATCTAGTCCTGGGTATTTGGGGCCCATGGCTACAGGGTTCATTGTTTGACTTCCCAATTATTAGAGGCTAAACGCCTATTGCACAAATCTCTATGCAATAGGCCTTCCTTCCCTTGGCTTCCAGCACCATTTTCCCTCCAACACCCAGGACCCAGGCCTTTGCTTCAGCCAGAGTCTGCCTTCTTCATTTTCGATGCAGACTCTGGAATCTGCAGTCTTGTCTTCACTGCTGCACTCCACTCCTGTAGATTCCTTCACACCCTACCCTACCTCTCATAGCAGGCATCCTGCCCCACCTGGCCACTTTGTGCCTGGAGCAGCTGGGCAGCCACCATCATTGGCCTTCTAATTTGCATACTCACTCTGATTGGCTGTGGGTGTAGCAGAGGTATGGTCAATTTACATGTTTGTCTATTATTGGGTAAGATAGCGGACTGATTTGCTATGAGTCTGCCATGGCAGGTCAGTTTCCCCTGCTGGCTATTGTAGACAGGGGGCTGGCGTCCAGAGCAGGTTGCTGTAGCTTGGACCAGGATTCTGATTTTATACATGGCCTGCCATCGCCTGTGTGTCTATTCAGTCTCTCACCAGCATATAAATCCACAATTGTGGGAAGGGCAGGTATTATTATCATTTTGAAAGAGCAACTGACTTGGTTTTCTTTTTAACAATTAAGAAACTGAGATTCCCTTTGGTAAAGTATGCTGAATTGAAAGGATAGAAATTGTTTTAATTTTTCTTTTTTAAAGAGTCCTCCACACATTAGACCATTAGGAATCCAGGGGCTTTATCCCTGTTATTTACTCTTGTCTCTAGGCTCTCTTGTAGGCAAGGAAGACCTAGCAATTTGTGGGGGGTGGGGGTGGTGGTGGTTGTTTAAAGATCCCCAACTACTTACATAGGAAGAAAGGCAAGTATAGTAATAGAAATCTTGCACCCAACAGTTTGACACTTAGGCGCACACACACACGCAGCTATTGTGATTATTGTGTTACTTAGGAATAATCTCCAGGGTTTACGAAGCAGAATCACTCATGGTGTGCCACCGGCTGTGTCGGGCAATGACAGGGCACAAGTTTAAATCTGAATGAAAACCTCACTCGGCCCATCAAGAAGATTCGATCTGGGCAGGTAGCCTGCTGAGCATCCTCTGTGAGTCGGTTGGTGGACACTCAGGTTCACCGATGGAGGAATGTGAGGCTTCCTGCATTCCTGTGGCCATTCACACAGGATCTGGAAATGCAGCTGATTTTCCATTTTCAGAGGAAAGGACAAAAAGCTTTCAAATTAAAAGTAAGCACGATTTGCAATTTTATTTGTAAATTAAGAACTGAAATGATTTATTGATTTATTATTTTCAACCGAATGTTTCCAAGCTTACGAATCATTAGTAAACCCAGGCTATGGTATGAGAGACGCTGCTTTAATTAGGCTTTCGACTTCATAGACTCCGTGATACAAAGATACAGTGACAGTTCCAGATTAGCATTAAATGTCCTGTTTTGGCAGCTCCAGCTGTTTACTTCTCAGTTGGCACTGTACCTCCCGTAAGGGGGACGGCCTTAGCAGCCACATGGAAATGGGAAAGTATTTGTTTTCAGAGCTCCTTCGGACTAGGTCATGCGATAGTTTAATGAACAACATGATCTCATATTTGGATGCTGTGATCATTGAAATTAGTGTAAGTGGTCTCCGTCCACATTAAAGGAGATATATCCATATTATTTGTCATATTTGGCTGTCTCTGGATAAGATGGTGCCAGGAGTGGAATGACAGGGGGTTGTAAATTATGACAGAAGTATGATGGGAGATCTGAGGGACCTGGAGGTCTGCCTGAACTGAACTTTGGGTTAACACAGCCAAGGTCCGTGGCTTTCCCTTCAATAATGTGCTTCAGCTCGGCTCCCTCCCTTAAAGAAATAGCAAAATCAGAATTTCCTGTAGCAGAATAAGAGGTTAAAACATCTGTGGGGACATTCAAGAAGTTCATATGTGCTTTCCAAAGGTCAAACAAGAGATGTTTATTTAGAATTTGACTCTTTGATCTTGTATTATCTCTAAATAATTTCTAAGAAATATTTACTATCCTGAAAGAGTATGTTATTTAACAAAATCTCTTAGAGGTAAATATGTAATATTATTAGCTGAGCTGGGATAGCTATAATTTTTTTATCCCTTCCATCTAACACTGTCAATTTCTCCTCCATAAGTACCTTTTCTTCTGTTTTCAAATGCACATGAGGCTTCTTTTTCCTTAAAAAATACATGTACTCAGGTAATCATACATCCACATATATTTCACCTGACCTTTCTGGTTCCACTATAAACCAGCTCAGAATATATCGCCCCAGAGGAATATCGATAAAATGGTTTAATGACATGTTACATAGAGTAAGATCCAAAAGCAAAACCTTCTAATAGTAGTGCATTGAGAATGTATCTGTGGGGGCTCAGGGATTGGTTCAGCTCAATCCAGAATCAGGTCCCCCAGACCTTGCAGAAGGCAGTCTTGTCTCTTGGTTTGGTGAGGTGATTTGGTACATTATGCTTTACTCAGAATTACAGGGAGCTCCGTGATAACACAGGCTGTCTGTTTGAGCCATTGCTTTTATAAATTTAGGAAATTCTTTCCTGTCCCTGACTATCTTACCAAACATTCCTGTCAATCAATGGACAACACTGTTTAACTCAACATTATTTTTTTATTGCCCATGAGAGCTAGAGATTACTTTGATGCTGAAATTCTGCTGGTGATACTCAAGGTCCTTTTCTTATATTTAAAATATTTATCAGCTAAATTTCTATTGGTCATCTTTCTTCCATATCCACTGTGCATAACACATCTTTGGCTTTCTTTCTTCTTCTTAAAACCAGTTTTTAATAATAAAAATAAGCCACAAAACACATATCTAGTAAAGGACTGATATTCAAACTATAAAAGAAATCTCTTAAAACAACAATAAGAAAGCAAATGGCCTCATTAAAAATGGGCAAAAAATCTGAGCAGATACTTCACCAAAGAAGAGATACATATTTATAATTAAAAAAGAGCATATGAAAATATTCCAACATAATGTTACTGGTGAATTACAGACTAAAACAACAATGAACTTCAGCTACGTGCCTGTTAGGATGGCTAAAGTCCAAAACACTGATAACAGCAAATGCTGACAGGGATGTGGAGCAACATTCACTGCTGGTGGGAATGCAAAACGGCACAACTACTTTGGAGGACAGTTTGGCAGTTTCTCTTAAAACTGAAACATAGTCTGACCATGTGCCTTGAGGATCTTACGCCTACGGATTTGTGAATTGAAAACTTTGGTTCACACAAAAACTTGCATGTGGATGCTTACAGTAACTTTATTCATAATTGCCCCAAATTGGAAGCAGCCATCATGCCCTTTAATGGATAAACAAACCGTGGTCCATCTCTACAATGGAATGTTATCCGTGATAAAGAGAAATAAGCTATTGAGTAAAAAAAAGGATATGAGGGAACTTAAAGGCATATTTCTAAGTGGAATAAGGCAATCTTTAAAAGCTTATATTTCACTGTTTCAATTATATGACATTCTAGAAAAGGCGAAACTGTAGAGACATAGGCACAAGAGAAGGGGAGGAATGTATTGGTAAAGTATAGGATTATCAAGGCAGGGAAACACTTCCCTCTGATACTATAGTGGTGAGCACGTGATATTTTGCATTTGTCAAATCCCATAGAGCTGTTCAACGCAAAGCATGGACCCTTAAGTAAACATACTATGGACATTAGGTAACAATCCAGTATCAATATTGGTTCAATTTTTATGTAAACCTACAACTGCTCTAAAATTTTTAAAAAGAATTTGTAAAGCAATGACCTCTGTTCCACACACAAAATAAACCCTAGTAACACTGGAAATTCCTTGTACACCCAAAGCAGACCTGTGTGCAGGCGTAGAAACTAAGCTGTGGGTCTCACCCACTACTCACTGTGGTATTGTGTCACGCACTGAATTTGGTGGTCTGACGTCAGCGCCCGTCACCTGTGTTCATCCTTGTTCTTCTGCATGTGTTTAAACTCCTGTGACCAAGTGAAGAAACTTTTTAAATAGAGGGTAACCTACTTGGTAACTTCCAACCAACAGCTCAGTGTTTGATGCCTGTATGTAAAACAATAAAAATAACGTGCTACGCCACCTCTTTCGCCTTTCTAGAAAGATCTAAGCAAACATTTAAAGGCCTTTTCCTTGTCTTCCAGGCCTTGCAATTGCCAGTGCCCTAGTAGATATTTCACAACAGAAGCCTTCGGATAGCAAAGACAAGACGTCAGGCGTGCGGAACCGGAAACACCACCTCTCAACGCGCCAAGGAACTTGCGTCTGAGGAGCAGGGAGTCCTCCGGATCCGTTGTGCTGTTTCACCTCTTACATGGCTCCCCTATGGCCTCGAGTTGTCTGCAGACAAAACTCCTCGTGGTCCCAGGACCCAAGTACAGTTCCCTCCAAGTGGGCAATGACCCAAGTGGCCAAAGAATGTTCACGAGTTTTCTAGAAGCAACAGTATTGAAGGTCATGGATGAGAAAGTCATTTTTTATGACTCTCTTAGGCTTATCCTAGATAACTTTAAATTTCTCTGGAAAAAAAATGTATATTGTTTCTTAATGCAGATGAAAAATATGTAATTCGTATAAACCAAACTGTTTATATCCCAAGACATTAAAGAAAGACATTTTATAATGCCTGAACGATGAGAATTGTACAGTTTTTGCCTCATAAGCAAACTTAAATCGCTTGTATAGGAACGGGAAATGAACAAATTGCAACAGCTTTAAGTGCTGTTTTTTTATCTCAGTGTACATGTAAATGCGAGATTTTGATTTAGTAGGATGTAGGCAATGCATTTAAATATTTCACACAACGGTTTCATGCCCAAAGTCAGATTGAGAATGTGACTGTTTTCCACCTAACTGGAATGCAGACTCAAATGAGTCCATTTGGATGGATGGTAGGTGCAACTTCACAGGAGGCTTATTAGGATTCTGAGTGAAGAGGACCTTCCTGTGGTCCATGCCAACTTCCTAACTCATTATGAGAACCGATAGAGCATGAAGAAGCCTAGCCAGCAGTCAGTTTCCCCTTCCCTCCCAGCACAGCCTCCGGCACCACAAACGTGAAGAGAACTGAAATCGTGATTTCACAGTGTGCCAGCTTCTGTCCTCCCATGGTAACTTCTTAATTGCCCGGGCACTGTGGGATCAAACCTACATGATCCATCTGCATTTTTAAAAGGATAGACCATCTTCTTTTGACCTTGGTCTGCCAGCTGCTAGATTTTATCTACCCTTACAAATGTGATGAAAGTATTTTAGAGCGACACCTCCCAGGTTATAATCTGACCCAGGCTCCTTCCTGCCAACCATCTTTCTGAGAACACAAGCGGGGAAGAGCTTTTAGCAGGTACGCATCTACAGAATCCTCACTTCCAACATGAACGAACACATTGGTGTCCCGAGCAAAAGTCTTTGAGTGATAAGTAAGTTCAGTATTGCCCCCGTTCAGTCTGTTCTTAGTGACCCAAACCCCTGAATTATGGCAGAAATGATAGTATAAAGCAGCTTTCATATTGGAATGTAGGCTCCTGTGTGACCCAACCTTGACCACAGTTCACAAGGGGTCAGTGGCATTACAGATCTTGTTGGGAATTGTAGGTTCCTAACATCAGGGTGCCTACAACGTATCTATAGAGAACACTGAGAGTTATCCAAAGCTGCTTTATATGCTATAGTTCTGTTCAATCTGAAAGCCATTTAAATATCACTGATGTTTAGAACTACATACGTACTTTCCATGTTCTTTGGATTTCTGGAAGGTAATGATAATTCACTGTTTACAGCTCATGCCTAGTTGCTTGCATGCTATGGTTGTGCGGTAGCGGAACAGGACAATAGTGTGATAGAGAATGTTGATTTCATAATGCCATTTATACATAGCTTACTTTGGTGAGGATCGAATATAATATATATCAGGAATGATCATACACTATGTAGGTGCATTGTATATAAGATTGCTAAGTTACATCTAACCATGACTATGTCATTGTTTTTAATAATTAGGCATTTCTGAGTTATGGTGTATATTCCTTATGATGGCATGATACTTTGCTGTTTTCATGAGTTAAGAATAATACTGATTCTTAGAGCAATTTTATCTCTGCCCTGTGGGGTTTTTCATTGGAGGGGAGGGAGTGGAGCTGGGTTTTATCTCCCTGTGATATTTTCTCTCTCAAAAAAGTGAGCGGAGTTTGTAAATGTCTCTTAAAAACAATCAAACAATTTTATTAGCTTCTTTTGGACCCTTTAAGTGTTCATTTTTTTCTCCTGGAAAAATAAATTAACATAACTGCTAATTACAAAAATATAAGTCATTTAGAAATAAAATGATTGCCCAATTTGTGTAGTTTGCTAACAGTTGTCATGAGAGAAAGCTTATGTAACAAAAACAGAGTTGTATGTGAAATCTATATCAGCTCTATCTTTTGAGAGTCTAAGCAAACAGTGTTGCTGTGAAAGAATTGTCAAGCTTCATTCAGTTCGAATCCCAGCAGGCTCCTAAAATATGGAAATCTGAACTTTAGAGAATTATAGGACGCAATGTAATGTTAAAGTCATACTATACCTTCCTGGGCCAAATATTGCTAACTTCCTGACTAATTATGCAATTACTTCCCAACTTAGCAAAGCTTTTTACTGACAATAAAATGCTTCACCCTCAGATGCTGTGGATTGAAAACACCTTAGGGATAATCACTGAGAATGTGTACTTTTATTCCCCTTCACCCTCCCCCCCTCCAAATTGCAACTATTTTTATTTTTGTATGCTGCCTTTTTTTTTTTTTTTAAGCAAACCACAAGTATGCAGAAACTTCAAGAAGTTAGCAAGTAAAGGACTGGTTCTCTTAAAAAATGTATTTTAAAGGAATTCTGTATATATCCGTTTAGAATGAGTTTGAAAAAAGTCTTTAGATTTTAGAATGTATTGCTCTTCCGGGAATGAAAATTTTGGATTAAGTGTAATGGAGTTTTAAAAACTAACCAGGGGACACTATTTGGACACAATAGAGAATTCTTACGGAAAGATCGCACATGTTCGCAGATTGAATACATATTGAGATGATTGGGATTTTTGTAATTGCTTGTAAATGAAAATTTATTCTAGGGATGCACATAGAAGGAAAATGTATGCCATATACTATTGTACCATGTTCACTAGGAGAACTTGAAACACGATGTATTCCGATGAGTAATGGATACTTACCGTACATCGCATTTTCCTTGGTTCCAATAAGGCTATGACAATGGCTATTGTCACTGCAGGTCACTTAGAGTGCAGGCTGGGGGATGGGCCTGGAACGGGTGTTGTACCTGCTTTGAGCTGGGTGGTGCTGGGCAAGATTTACATTTTGAAGCGTCAGACATTTCACCTGTGAAGGGAGGGATGAGCCTGGGAGAGAGCAGATCAAAGCCCCACAGCGAAGCAGTACAGCGGCCCTGAACAGTCTGGGGACCACCAGGCCACTCTTGTCCTACCCCTTGTTTTATGAACCCATCTCTTTATTTATTTATTTTCCATTCAACTCTTCTCCATAGAGAAGAGCCAGGTAGGTTTTGGCACATGAAGATGTCACGAAAATCTTAAGTTCTTACAGTATTTCTAAGGTAGAGATTTCTCAACGACTACTTTGCTATTTGGGTCAATGGAGGACTTGACTCTTTCTAAATATCTACTGCTTTAATAAAGTATTTTTTAAATGACCCCTGACGACAGACAGGAACATCAGTTGGCATTTTCACTTTAAAATTAGGCAAAACCAGATTAATCCTTACATTGGGTTGTTACACATGGTACATCTTTTTCTTTTTATTGACTCTAGGATTTGTAAGGTTTTAAAAATTAAAACTGGTCAAAGGAATCACTTCTACACACATACATTTTTTTAAAGATGAACTTCCGTTTTACTCGGATGGGTGTGGACTTGGATCATAAGAACTGCCTGGGCGGGTGCAGATGCTTACGTTTTCTCTAGAGATTCAGATCCGGGAGGACCGGCTTGGACCCTGGAGATTAATACGCTTAATAAGCACCTCAGGATTCTGACGATTAATCAAACGAGGGAACTGCCGCCCTGGGCCAAAGGCTGCTCTCCTCACCAGTTAGAAGACTTTCTCTGAGTAATGAAGTTATCGCTCTCCTTCAAAAGGCTTTAAATATTTTCCCAAGGAATATAAGCCATCTGGTTGGTGTTACAGCACTGTCTTCAGTAGAGTGTACGTTTCACCTTTCAGTTTTCTCAGATTTTTTTTTTAAATGGAGAATTAGTACCATATCCGTGTACATGTATTCAGGAGTGCATGCCAGTGTTATAACAGACTGTGTAAAGTTCAAACCTGCTTTCCAAAGCAAATTTTATGATACTGTGTGCTATTGATCAGGAGTTTAATTACTGGAATAAAAACTGGATCTCCCAACCCCCACTGCCAAATGCAGTTTTGTCATTTTTATTTGTTTATTTATTTTCCCTTCTCAAGATCGTACAGGAAAAAGCACTCAACACCTGGTAAAGCCTTCCCTCCTCGGCCCACCTTCTAAGACTTATTTGTACAATTTGTTTATTGAAAATACATTTTCTCCCTTTCCCTCTTCACTACTGGTTTCCATTGGCTTTTTCTACGTGACTCTTGGCACAGCGTATCCCACACTCGGATGGTCTTGGGATGGAAGAAGTTCTCACAGCCTGAGGGGCAGACACCAGCTACCACCGCAGGTCTCTGCTCCAACCCTGTGTGTTGTGTTTGCATAATGTGTTCTTACGTCCCATAAAAGTCCCCTTGCTGGGACCGGTGAGCTGTGGCAGAGCTGAGGAATGTTCTAGAATAGCCTGCTTGTTCTTTGCATGCTTTGGAGTGAGACCCATGCTGCCACCTGCGTCCCAGCCTCCTGTCAGAACCACTGCTCCGCTGGGCCTTCTCTGGGGTCACTGAGAGGGAGCGGCCTGGGAAACCCAGCGCTTCTCTTTCTGCCCTGAAGGCCCAAGGGACCCTGATTGGCCTCAGGGCCTCAGGCCAGCTCTCTGCCTCCTAACCCGAGGCCCAAACCAGAGGCTAGCCCTGTGTAGACGTAGATGGAACGGGCATCTCCTCCCAGGCGCCCTCCATCTCACCTCCCAGAGTCAGGCCAGGGAAGAGGCGGGACCAAGAAGCTCACGCAGCCCTGAGACATGCCCAACGTGGCTGGCATCTTCCAGAAGCTTCAGAAAAGAAAAAGAAGCTTTGGGAGGGGCCCAGATGAGCATGTGCCCTAAGGGGAGAGAGCTTAGAGTCGAATCTCAGAGCCCCTTTTGCTTATAAGGTATCTGCCATCAACAGTAAAAAACATTTAAAAATGAAAAACAACAAAAGCAGCAGCAGCTTCTCTGACCACCTAAGCCATGTCTACATTCCTCTTCAGGTTTTTTAAAATTTAATATATATTTTTATTTAAGAGAGATGAGGGGAGAAAGAGAAACATCAATGATAAGAATTCTTGATCAGCTGCCTCCTGCACGCCCCTTACTGGGGATCAAGTCCACAACCTGGGCATGTACCCTGACTGGAATCAAACCACAACCTCCTGGTTCATGGGTCAATGCTCAAACACTGAGCCATGCCGACTGGATCCCTTCAGCTTTTTTATGGTGGATTGGTGGCAA